AAGGGTTTCATCTTTCCTATGATTTTCCTGTGATAGCAGCAGAAGGGTTTCATCTTCTAGAAAATGCAATAGAGGAAAGATCACCTGAGCCTGTAAGCATTTCCTGAGGATGTAGGAAATAATTCCACAGTTCCTTTTGTTTGCATAGGATCTACACGTTCACAAAGCACTTTCACATTTCTTGTCTCCTTAATATCCTAATAGACAATTAACCCAATTTAAGGGATGAGAAATTTTTTGTTTTGTTTCTTTGGTGGCTGGCTGATATAGGGATCCAAACCCTTGACCTTGGTGTTATCAGCACAACTATGGGATGAAAAAAATTTTGACACAGAGGCATGGCTAGTGAATGGACAGCTGGAACTGGAATCCACTCTGTCTGATTCTCTGTGATTATTTTTCTCTGTACTCAAAGTCTGTGAACTATGACCTGCAGGCCAAATCCTGTCAGCTTCCTGTTTTTATAAATGAAGTTCTGTTTTTATAGCTGCTTTCTCATTACAGTGGCAGAATGAAGTAGATGCAACACATACTGTATGGCACTCAAATCCTACAACATTTACCCCCTAGTCCTTTACAGAAAAAGTTTGCCAACCCAGATGGCTTCTGAAGCTAAGAGGTCCACAGTTTTCCATGCAACAGCCACTTTTCTGAACTCGAGGCTAGGGATTTAAGTGCAACTCTGTTACCCTGAGAGCTGTATAACCACCAACACATTGGCAGCATTTTATTCTAATTTAGCAGGTTGGGACAACTCAGCTCTTAATAGCGCTTACAGAAATTTTTGCTTTAAATTCTGCAATAAAAAGCCACCTGGCAGAAATAATGGTTTTGATGGTGGTCATTGCTAGTAATGGAGTGGGTAAGGGTGCAGGAATGGATGGTTCAGCAACACATACCTTCTAAAGTTTCTTCTTGGTTTTGACTGGAGGAAGACTATTTTAGAGAAGCAGTGCTGACTTTTTTCAGATAGATTTTGTTTCTTTAAAAAGTTTTGGGTCAATTGCAATGAATTGGAGAAGTGATCCCATAATTCTTATGGCCCTGCTTCTGGACTGTTTTTTCCTCACTCTTCCCCATCTCCTGTATGTGTTTCCCATGATCCTCATTGGTTTCCTCCACTCCAGTGGCTCTCCCATGCCTTCTCTAAGGATACCTCCCAGTGACTCCAATAGTCCGTCCTAGCAATGATCATATTAAGGTACTATCTGCAAGACCTCCCATTGGAAGGTCTTTCTTCTGTCATCCTAATTTATTCTGGAATTGTGCTGGTTTTTTATTACAGTATTTAAAAGCTGCTCCTTAGAATTGTTTTGTTTTCCTAGATAATCTTTGAACTGCCTTTTCTCCAATTTTAACAATTGCTATATTGGCAGGGGCTGTTCAAGTCAATATAAGAGCCACTTCTTTGAACAACTTCTCACCGGAGGCATTCGTGCTGCCTGTCGATGTAGAAAAGGTGAACACTCTCTGTTTCTTCTTCTTTTTAACCACAGACAGTCTTAATCCCTTAGTGCTGATTAAATCTGAAAATGTCACCCTGATGAGGCATAGCATATGGGTTCCATTTCAGCATTGAGTTGGTAGAGACTGCCAGGAGCACTAAGCTGAGCAGGGTTCCAAGGCAGTGTCCACCCTCAGCTGGACAGTTCTCCATGACTGATGAATGGTGTCTGCCATTGGGCCACCACCGACCTAGGCTTTGATATCACAAGAAATTCAACTCGGGATGTTTGTTTCCTGAGGTAAATCTATGTCTCTGGACGATGTGGGCTATAAGTCATATAGTGACCTGTGATCACTCAGTTAAATTAACATATATATTTATATGCATTAACTCCCCTTACGTGAACTTTCTTGAAAAAACATTGATTATTCTTGTGAGTATTTTAATTGATTTTTTTTTTCATGCAGGAAAATGCCCACTTCTATGTGGCAGATATGATTATATCGGCAATGGAGAAAATGAAGTGTGACATCCTGAACCAACAGCATGCAGAGAGCTGGAGGAAAGAAGAAGCCAGTGGGTCACTTGGGACTGATCAAACTGACTCTGAAGTGACCTTTTATACCAACATAAAGCAAGAACCTGGGTCTTCCACTTCTTCCGACAGTGGCTATGACGGCAAGTTGGGCAGAGAGGAGGAAGCTTTGTGCTGCGTTCTCCACCTCCACCTCCTCTCTACTGTCGGTCCTGAAGTGTATCTTGAAATCCTTTTTCTAAAACTTCCTGAGTAATCTGCATAACTCAGGGGGTGGTTTTCTTGGGACTGTTTATCAGGCTCCATCCAGCGGTCAAACCTTGCATTTTGTTCTGGGTTTTTGCCTTGGGCTTCATCCTGCTTTTCTTTTTGGTAGCACTGATGGCTCTGCTCTTACTGTCACATGGCATTCTCTTAGCTCTTCCCACATGTTCTTTCCCTTTCCAAGTAGTCCTTTTTCATCTGTTCAGCAAACAGTGAGCCTGGGACGTGCGAGGTGTTGGGAACCTTCGGTACGCAGGATGTGCATCTAACCTGCAGGAACTCACACACCAGAGCAGAGGCCAGGGACACAGTGTAACAGGGGTGAGGACCCTGCATGGTGGGTCACAGGACAGGAGCAGCTTATTCTGGGACCCAGGAAGTTCTTCCCAGAGGGAATGACAGCTGACATCAGGGTTTGCCACTTTCTTATCATTTCCTAAAGGCAAGTCCTGCCTTTGGTCCTTTATTCTTTTTTTCTGATTCACTTCCTGGTAGATTTTATCCACCATACACCCTCCGCTATTGCCTCTCAGTTGATGTCTCCTGAATCTGTGGCTGCATTCTGGCACCTCTCTTCCAAGCGCTTGTTCCACATGGCTGGGACTCGGTGAACTTGTCCACCTGCTTGGCCCCCAGGACCTCTAACTTAACAATTCATTTCTGGGTGGCTTAAAACACTTCATTTTCTCCATTGCTGATGTAATCATATCTGCAACATAAAAGTGGGCGTAGTTAACCTCTGACTTAGCATGTCTAAACTAGTCATCTCACTGTCCCTCCCTCACAACCCCCTTTCTTCCAGAAAAAAAAGATTGAAAACTAAAGCATGCTTTTCCTCTTGACTTCCTTCACGTCAAATTTTAATCAGGAATGTTCAGTAATGAGGGAAGAACTAACTCCATATGGAGAACTCCATATGGGGGGGAAGAACTCACTCCAGGCATAATGCCTGAAATAAAATAAGTATATAATAAATATTTGTTGAAGGCATTAACTAGCTCAAGTTAAGGGAGATTTTTTTAAGGATATAGAACATACATATTAAACTCAGTGGTGGGAAATACAGCTGGAGCACATAAGAACTGGCCAGTATGGACACAGTGCCGGCATCTGCCGTTTCTGGGGCTTTGTGGTCTCCCATCTCTTTCCCAGGTGCAATTGCTTCACTCTCCTTTTCTGCAGCCTGAACTCTTCTACCCATCCCCAGCTTCTGGTTTCAGCTCTGCTGGCTCCTTGACTGCTCACCCAGGTCCTCGCAGCTCAACAACTCAGTCTCCTGGAACCCCCAGTACTGATTCCCAGGGCTGATCACCTGATTGGGATCCACAACTGGTCAGGCAGCTGTGGCCAGGGGAGCTGGGGAATGTGATATGACCATCATCTCCTCTGAGGCTACTAGAAGGGAGGAAATGAATGTGGGTGGAAAAGAAGTGATTCGTATTTTAGTACTTTGGGTTTCATCTTTCCTTTTTTTTCCTTTTTGTCTTTTTTCGTGTCCGGCAACGGATCGCAACCCTCAGTGTTGCCCCCGTACCGGACCGGGACCGGCAACAGGATCGCAACCCTCGGTGTTGCGTCCGCACCTCGCTCAGCCAGTGAGCGGGAACCGGTCTGTATGTGGGATCCATTTATTTATTTGGTGGCTGACCGCTATGGGGATAAGAACCCTTGAACTTAGTGTAACAACACTGCACTCTAACCAACGGAGATAACCAGCCAACAATGAAGTTATCTTTTTAAAATACATTTCAGCTTTTTGGACTGAGATCCAGAAGTGCTATGTATACATTTTAAAAATTTATACAAATGGGATCATTACTTTTTTCCACTTAATAATGTGTCTATAACATAACTTTAACAGTAATCTCCTTCATTCTTTAATATGGTTACCTAGTATTTTGCATGGTATTTTATTGTATGAATGTATTATAATTTTTATTATCATTCCCATAATGGACACCTATATTGTTACAGTTCTTTTGCCATAATACACATTGCTGCAAAAAACATTCTTTTATATATAAGGAAAAATTCCTATAAGTGGAATGTCTGAATCAGATATTGCCTAATTATTTATCAAAAAATTTGCACCAATTTATATTTCATTCTAATAGTGTATGAAAATGATGTTTCTTATTATCATTACCAACACTAAGTGTTGCAAATTTTGACATATGTGCCAATCTTCTAGGTGAAAAACAATATCTTTCTCAAAATGTTTTAAGTAGAAGTGAAGTTGAACATATTTTCACATCTTTAGAGGCTATTTCTGTGTGTGGGTATATATGAAGGGACTTCAAAAAGCTCATGGAAAATGGGATTAGAGATAAAAATAAAAATGGTAAACTTTGTTTTTCAACATAAGCTTCATCAAGTTCAAGACACTTTTGTAAGTGACAGTACCAGCCATTTAGTCCATACCTAAAGAACCGAGGGTCCTGGGAATTTAAACATGTCAGTGTAGTCTTTTCATATTATTAACTGAAGAAAAATGGGTGCCTTTTAAAGATTTTTTAAGATTAGGAAACAAAAAGAAGTCAGAAGGAGCCAAGTCAGGTGGATGCCTAATGATTTCCCATAGAAACTCCCACAAAATTGCCATTGTTTGATGAGAGGAAAGATCAGGAGTTCATGGAGGAAAAGGACTCTCTGGTGAAGCTTTCGTGGGCATTTTTCTGCTAAAGCTTTGGCTAATTTTCTCCAAACACTCTCATAATAAGCAGATGTTATTCTTTGGCACTCCAGAAAGTCAACAAGCAAAATGCCTTGAGCATCCGCAAAAACGTGTTTCTGTGACCTTTGCTCCATGTTTGCTTTGACTGGACCACTTCCATCTCTTGCTAGTCATGGCTTTCACTGTGCTTTGTCTTCAGGATCATACTGTAAAGCCATGATTCCTCTCCTGTCATAGTTCTTCAAAAACATGCTGTAGGATCTTGAGCTCACTTGAGTAAAATTTCCATTGAAAGCTCTGCTCTTGTCTGCAGCTGAACTGGGTGCAACAGTTTTGGCACCCATGGAGCAGAAAGTTTGCTCAACTGTAATTTTTCAGTCAAAGTTGTGTAAGCTGAACCAGTTGAGATGTCTGTGGTGTTGGCTCTTGTTTCTGCTGTTATTCATTGATTCTCTTCAATTAGGGCATCAACAAGATTATTTTTTTCTTCAAAAACTGATGTGGATAGTCTGCCACTGCGGGGTTTATCTTCAACATTATCTGGTCCCTTCTTAAAATGAGTTATCCATTTGTAAATTGTTGGTTTATTTGGCATATTTCCCCATAAACTTTTTATAAAGCATCAGTGATTTCACCATTTTTCCAACCAAGGTTCACCATGAATTTCATGTTTGTTCTTGCTTCAATTTTAGCAGAATTCATATTGCTCTGATAGAAGCTCTTTTCAAACTGATGCCTTGTCCTTCTTAGCACCTCAAACTAGATCTTATTAAGACATATTATAAGAAGTTAGTAAGAGTTCATTTTGGTGCCAAAATTTTTTGAAATTCATGCATAGTGTTTTTTTTTTAATATGCATTTTCCATGAAATTTTTGAAGAACCCTTGCATACTGCTTGTTCATGTACTTTGCCTGCTTTTAAAAATTTTGCTGTTCATTTTGGTGAGATTTGGGCTCTTTGTTATTGAAATTATCCTTTAATCTTGTGTGTGTGTTGCAAAGATTTCCTACATTATTTTGACTTGGTTTATGGTAGTTTTATTATATGAAAGTTTGATATTTATGTATAATCAGATTGCTAAACCTTTTTCCTTCATTATTGTAGATTCAATGTCATTTTGTAGATTCAATATCATGTCATCATTCAATGACATTCAATATAATTTTTGTAGATTCAAAATTTTGTAGACTGGAAAGTCTCTTCTATCCAAGAATATTATTATAAAAAACCCCAATCATGTTGTTCTGTTCCTTTCATGGTCCCTTTTTTTATGTTTGGATCTTTGAAATATTTGAAAGTCATTTTGATGTGATATGTGTGGTAGTGATCTAGTTTTATTTTTTCAAAAGGCTCTTCTCACTTTCTACCTTTTCAATACTGAGTATGCTGGGATAGGTTGCTCACTTGTTTGGAATCTTTAATGCCAAGATTAAAATCTCATTAAACTTGTGTTAACAAGAGTACTTAAATTCTACTATGGGGATAGTCTTTAACAATTCACTCTGCATAAGCAACATGGATGAACTTAGAGAAAATTACGTTAAGTGAAATAAGCCAGGTACAGAAAGAGAAATATCATATGTTCTCACTCATAAGTGGGAGCTAAAAAATAAACAAAAAAATAATTTTAAAAAAAGAGAGAAAGATACAACAATCACAATAACACATTGAACTTTCAAAAGGAGAGAACAGAACTGGGTTACCAGAGGTGGGAAAGCAGAAGGGAGAAAGGAGTAAGGAAGGAATTGGTAAAGGGCCACGGAAAAATGATTACATTGTATAATGCTGAATATACTAATTATCCTGATTTGAGCAATACATATTGCACACAGGTATTGGTATTCAATGCAGTACCCCACAGATATGTACAATCAACTTTATTATAATAAGAAAAAGTAAAACAGAACTAGAAAAAAAAATTCATTCTGCATATTGTTTTTTTTTTCACAAATGCTGGCTGACTGCAATGGGAAAAATATTCTATTGAAATCAGAACAGACTGCAGCAGCTTTCACAAAATAGGGGAGTGGCATTATTCATAACAGGCAAGATGGCTCTTTATTTTAAAAAATATGTTGGCAGACTTTTTGGGTGGGAAAGGTGAAGTCCCTCTCTCTCCATCCACCTTACCCCAGGGCATAGTCTGGAAGCTGTGGGTGAATTGCTTTGCTGAGAAAAGTAAAAGGAAGTTGAGGGTCAGAGGCTGGCAGCCAGGAAAAACAGGGACTGGGAAAAGGATCTTAGGAGAGAGGTTGGAAAGATGACAAGGAGACAGAGCTGAAGGGAAACTAGAAACTGACCTCCAGAGAGTATGGATAGTGGCTTTTTAGATCAGTGATTTTTAATATCCCATTTTAAGTTATTGCTTTTACTTCATTATGTTATGATCTCCTGTTATCCTTCATGTCTTACAAAAGCCTGTTATACATACCAGTATGTAGGAGTATTAGTGGTGCTCTATTGGAAGTGAAGAAAGTGGGAGTGGTATTTTCCATCAGAGCAGAGAGAGATGGAAGCAGCTAGCAGGATACATGGGACTACAGGGAAATGGGTTGCAGAATGGATCCTCCAGAACAGCCTGCCCCTACCCTAACTCTCCTACCCCAAATGCACACAGTGAGTGTAAGCTCCATGAAGGCAAGATTTTTTTTTAACATGTTTTTCATACTCTGTCTCTAGTGCCTAGAATAGAGCTTGACACACATGAGTTACTCAATAAAAAGTTGTTGGAAAGAATGAATGAAAATCCCACCAGAGGTTCTGAACTTCTCACAATGCTTCAGATGAGGGTTTGAGCCAGTGCACTTGATGTTAAAGCAAATGGCAAACCCAGGAGTCTGGAGACTTGGAAATCTGGCTTTCATTTATCAGCCCAGGGTCCTGATTGCTTTAGCTCTGTTCTCTCATGCTATATGTCTGTGTGTATGTTTGAATTT